TCAAACCTCTAATACCCCTTCTTCATCATCAATCTCAGCTGATACCTGAGTCCTTTCACTAAACTAACAGAGGCAATAAGAGGAAAACTAGGTCATTTTTCTACTACCACATTACAGACCTACCTGTATCTGTGCCTTTCCTACTGATGGACAGTAATCAACTCCTTTCTAAAGATATCTCTTCACTAACTATTCTCACATTCACTCTTGAACACATTATAATCAGGCTTTTCTCCTTAGGAGACCAAGGAAACCACACTTATGAAAGTCACCAGGGGAATTCCCTGGCGGTACAGTGGTTAGGACTTGGGGCTTTCACTGCTGGGGACCAGGTTCAATCCCTGGTTGGGGAACAGATCCCACAAGCTGCATGGCACGGCCAAAAAAAAAAAAGTCACCAGAAAACTCCCCAATGCCAAATCAATGGTCACCTTTCCATCTTTGAAGATCTTACTCTATCTCTCAGAAACAGCTGACACAGTTATTCACAACCTCTTTCTTGTCTTCTCTGGTTTCTGAAACACTACACCCTAAGTTTTCCTTCTGGATTTTCCTTGCTGGCTGTACTTTCTCAATCTCATTTGTTGAATCTATTTTGTCTTCTTTCAGACAGTGCTCAGCTCAGTCTTCAGACTCTCCTCATTAATCACTTCTTAACTCCCATGGCTTTAAGTACATTTAAATGTTAACAGCATCTAAGTCTATATGGGAGAACCAACATATACCCAGAGATCCATGGGCAGTCACTCCACACTACCACGTGAATGGCTAATGGGCATACTTCACATGTCCATAAACAGTATTCTTCATCTCCCACCTCCTGAAAAATTGTCCCACTGCAAAGTTTTTCTACTTCAATAAATGGCACCAGCATTGCCCCAAATCTTAATATTTCTCACCAGTTTACCACCCTAACCCAAGGCACTATCTGAATTAATTAAATACCTCCTAAATATTCTCCCTGCTTCCACTCTTGCCTATCTACATTACATTCTCAAAAGAGCCACCAGAAAAGTCTTTTAAAACATAAACCAGCAGTTTCCAGACTGGCATTTCAGGGGCTGAGAAGTCACCACCCTATCACACCAACAAGTACAAAGCTGAACAAACTGAAAAATCGACAGCTCTTTTTAGATCCATCATCAAAGTGACTGCCCCCAAAACTGGAGAGACAGTCAGGTGGATACAAAGAATCATAACTTATATGTACAGAAACCAGTGGTTCTGGGAGAACCAATGCCAGGGTAGGAAAACCTAAACTGTAATTGATAAGTTGCAGGAGGCTCAGTGTGGACAAATTTAAGAGTTAAAAATCCTAGGGGAATCCAGTCATGGGGGGGCCCCTCAAACTTTTGTGAATTTTACCTCTTGGAGCTCTACCAGGTACTCAGACTAAAGATCAGGAAAAAAAATCCCCTATGACTTTCAACAGGGGGAAGGTAAAAGGAAATATTTTGAAAAATACCAGGGCATTCTGTCTTACTTAACAAGGCCTGCCCCTTAGTAGAAACTATTGTGCCAGAGTTGTACCTGCTGGAGTTTTGTCAGAGCCTAACCTACCTGAAGGAAGGGAAACATCCAACTCCAGCCCCTTCTAGCCATTCTATCCCAACTAAGTGGAAAAAAAAACTGAGAAGTACTGGTGAAATTCACAATCCAGGGGCATAGGGTCACAAAGAACAGATGGATAATGTAAGCAGAGAGATGAAAGAAATTCTAAGAAATAACCAAAACGAAATGTTAGAGATCAAAATCACTATAACAGAAATGACAAATGCCTTTGATAGATTCATTAGTGACTGGACAAGGCTGAGGAAAAAATCTCTGAGCTTGAGGATATGACAACAGAAACTTCCACAACTGAAAAGCAAAGAGAACAAAAAACAAACAAATAAAAAAACAACTAACAGGAGAGAATATACAAGAGCTATGCGACAACTACCAAACACAAATGAGGTCATGACACTGTCCTACTAAAAATTTTCAAATGGTTTCTCATCATTTAAAACTAAAATTAAAGCTCTACACCATGGCGTGAAAGATCCGACATGATCTGACCATTTCATCTTCTACATGTCTTTCCATTTCTCCCTCTATTCACAGTCACGTGTGATCTTGCTGTCTTTTAAGGCTTGTCGAGTTTGTCTCTTCTTCAGATCCTCTGCATTTGTTGTTTCTTCTGCATGAATAGTCTTCTCCCTCACAGACCACTCCCTCACTTTGTTCAGAAGTCTGCTGAAACATCATCTCCAGAGAGAGGCCCTCCTTCAGCATTCTATTGAAAATAACATCCTATCTTCTTCTATTTTGTTTTATTCCCTACAAAAATATTTTCTATTTTGTGATATAATATTAGTGTTATGTAATTTTTATATCATGCATTTGTTCACTTTCTGTCTCATCCACTAGAAATATAAGCTCCTCAAGAGGGCGAACTTTACTACTTTGCTACACCCAGCACCTAAAATGGTATCCAGCATAAATTAGGTGCCCAATAAACAACTTTTAATTGATAAATTATTTATTTATTTTTACATTAATTAAAAAAATAAGTTTTTAATTAGGTTTTTTAATCTTATGGATAAACATGAATGGATTATGATAAAATTATTAAAACTATATTTAATTCAGACTTCCAAATAAAATGATCTTCCCCGTTTCATTTTTTTTTTCAGTATCTTTATTGGAGTATAATTGCTTTACATGGTGTGTTAGTTTCTGCTGTATAACAAAGTGAGTCAGCTATACGTATACATATATCCCCATATCCCCTCCCTCTTGCGTCTCCCTCCCACCCTCCCTATCCCACCCCTCTAGGTGGTCACAAACCACCGAGTTGATCTCCTTGTTCTATGCGGCTGCTTCCCATTAGCTATCTATTTTACGTTTGATAGCGCATATATGTCCATGCCACTCTCTCACTTTGTCACAGCTTACACTTCCTCCTCCATGTGTCCTCAAGTCCATTCTCTACATCTGCATCTTTATTCCTATCCTGCCCCTGTTTTTCTTCAGAAACATTTCTTTTTTTTAGATTCCATATATATGTGTTAGCATACGGTATTTGTTTTTCTCTTTCTGACTTACTTCACTCTGTAAGACAGTCTCTAGATCCATCCACCTCACTACAAATAACTCAATTTCATTTCTTTTTATGGCTAAGTAACATTCCATTGTATGTATGTGCCACATCTTCTTTATCCATTCATCTGTTGATGGACATTTAGGTTGCTTCCATGTCCTGCCTATTGTAAATAGAGCTGCAGTGAAGAGTACGTGACTCTTTTTGAATTATGCTTTTCTCAGGGTATATGCCCAGTAGTGGGATTGCTGGGTTATACAGTAGGTCTATTTTTAGTTTTTTAAGGAACCTCCATACTGTTCTCCATAGTGGCTGTATCAATTTAGATTCCCACCAACAGTGCAAGAGGGTTTCCTTTTCTCCACACCTTCTCCTGCATTTATTGTTTGTAGATTTTTTGATGATGGCCATTCTGACCAGTGTGACGTGATACCTCATTGTAGTTTTGATTTGCATTTCTCTAATGATTAGTGATGTTGAGCATCCTTTCGTGTGTTTGTTGGAAATCTGTATGTATTCTTTGGAGAAATGTCTATTTAGGTATTCTGCCCAGTTTTGTATTGGGTTGTTTGTTTTTTTGGTATTGAGCTGCGTGAGCTGCTTGTAAATTTTGAAGATTAATCCTTTGTCAGTTGCTTCATTTGCAAATATTTTCTCCCATTCTGAGGGTTGTCTTTTCATCTTGTTTATGGTTTCCCTTGCTGTGCAAAAGCTTTTAAGTTTCATTAGGTCCCACTGCCCCATTTCTGAGAAGGAAATTTTCATAAAAATATGTCCTTCTTTCTGCAGTGAATTTCCAGACCCTAGAATATTTCTAGTATTCCCCCCAAAATGAAAAGAAGTAAAATTATCCTAATGGGCTAAAGTTAAGATCCCATACAATTTTTTAATCATTTCTGTTTAACCCAAGTTTGTTTTACTCTCTGTGATATACACATACACACACTTGATACCTTGGTTACCTGTATTCTAGTTTTCATTAAGTTAATTGTTTTCACCAGGTAATATATTCACATAGTTAAAAGAAAAAGTCTAATAAGGTATACAGTAAAAAGGCTCCCTCCTGTCCTTCAGATCCCTAGGTTCAAATTCCCATCGTAAGCAAGGAAGGGTAATTTGTTCTGTCAAGTGCCAGACAGTAAATATTTTCAGTTCTGTGGGCTGTATAGTCTCTGTCTCAGCTATTCAGCTCAGCTGTTATAAAGCGAAAACAGCCTTAGACTACAGGTAAACAAAGGTGCATAGCTGTATTCCAATAAAACTTTATTTGTAAATATAGACAATGAGCTGAATCTTTCCAGTGGGGTCAAACCCTAACTTTACATATGTCTCTTTGATAAAAAGTGTTAATGGTAATGTTTGAAGGGACTGCAGTGGAAGGGTTTGCAACAAAGAATGCTATTTTGAAATAAAAAAATTCATCCTACTACCCATGAAACATTGGTATACATTTAAAAACATACAAAATTTTCATATAAACAGACTTAAAATTTTTCCAAGATGCCTTCTTTATGATATATATTACTCGAAATACATATACCTTGTGGCATAATTATGAAGAACTAGTGTAACATCAAGATAAAACAGACTGGTCACCTAACTAGCAGCACACTGTCAACATTAAAGTCTGGCCCCAAACATTCCCTTAAATGGTAGATCAAATATATAGTTAACATTTTCATGGAATACATTAAAAAGTTAACCCAGAATTCTTATTTTAAAAAAAACCTGAATACCAAAAGTATACTCCCCAATCAAATCAATTCTAAAATGCACATTTCCAATATGTCTTACAAAGGATTTAATTTAATAAAACAAATCATGATTATAAAGAACTAGCTGTCTCTGAAAAGTAGATCATTGTAGACTGAGTAACCAGCTTATCAAAATTCAAAGGTATCCTAGGAATATATCTTACCTTAGATGTCATTTTCATAAAATGTTTGTTTTGATTTTCTGCTGTTCCCATCTTTTCGTTCTTGACTAAGTCATTTAGGCTTAGAATATCATCATCATGAAAGTATCTGACCCTTTCTTTTTCCTCATAGGTTGAAGCCTATGACAAAATGAACATTATTAGTTTAGTGAAAACATAAGTCTCTGAAGTATTTTAATGAATTATCTATAAATCTGATACTAAAAATCCCACTTTGTATCATAATCTTTCTTTCCAGTATATCCCTATTCTGTCTTCCTCCACGTGGAAAAATTTCCATTAGAATAACACTCCCTACCTCTTCTGTGCCTTTACTTTTTCCTCTTCCCCAAGGATGGAAGCATGACAGTATCTGATTTCTGAGTTTTAAGGAAAGGACAGAATTGTTTTATGCCTTCTTCTCTCCTCTATGCTCTTCCCCTCCTTGTAGTAAAAATTCCCTACCACTGTGAAGGGAAGTCATTAGTTACCCAGAGATCAAGTAAGCATATCAAGAACAAAAGTGAAGTATTAGCAAACCTACTTTAAATAGCTCTATCAGAAAAAAAGCTGATATTCTGATTCTCATCTAAATCAATTCTGGGTTTTCCTGTCAGTTAATTCCATACCTACACGTGGAAAAGAAAAGTGCTATGGTACTGTCTACCAACCAAATCAAATCTCAACACTGTTCTCACATTCCCTTATCCAAATAAAACCTGGTCTTCAACTTCTTTAGAACCATGTTCCCAATAATTTTTCCCCCACATTACTACTCCTCTCTTCACAAGCTTAAATATCACATTCCAAGACTTCAATCACTCTCTGGATCCAAACCCCTTTCTGTTCCTCTTATCCTTTCACTATACTCAGAAAACAAACCTCAATCCTGAATGAATGTGTCTATCCTCTTTACTCCTATACCTAGACTACTCAGTAGTAAGCAATTCAAAAGAGTATTCAATGCTATCTGGCAATGCATCTGTGAATCCCTAGCCAGTTCTGTCATTTCATACAATTCAAACCTTTACTATTCTTCTCCCACATCACCCTTTCAAACCCTTAATACATCCCATTTCTTTAGGAGAGGTATCCATCCCATTTCTATTTGCTGAACAAATCAATTACTAGCTCTAGCAGCACAGGCACTCAACAGGCAGATAATAAACATCTGATAGAAGAATTCTAAATGAACAAATCTTCTGTGGACCCAATTACCACTTATAAGACCTTTCAAATTTAAAACAAAATATCTAACTTGGGAAAACTGAATATGTTATTTTTTCCATTTTAAGAGCCTCAAGGTAGTGCTAAAAATTAACTGCTGCAGCTAAAAGATGGAAAAGAAAATTAAGGTTTACAAAGGATCTAACACAGGTCTATAGCACCAAGGTTTTCCCTAAGAGCTATGATAAGTATGTAAAAAGAAGCTAGAAACAATGTCAAAGAAATATACACTAAAATTAAAACTGCCTTAAAAATTCAATGTTGACAATTATTTGAAAACTGCTGTTGAATTAGAATTCATTTTGTAAAAGGCAGAGGATCATAACTAAAATAAAAGTAAGAATGTGATTTATTACCTTCTAATGTTTGCATTATTAAGCAACACTTCAGAAAATATTTTGAAATAGAGTTGACCCTTGAACAATGCAAAGGTTAGGGGCAGTGACCCCCATGGAGTTGAAAATCTGACTATAACTTTAGAGTCGGCCCTCGATATCTATAGTTCCATATTCACAGATTCAAACCACCACAGACTGTGCAGTACTATAGTATGTAATTTATTGAAAACGTTCTGTGTATAAGTAGACCTTTGCAGTTCAAACCCATGTTGTTAAAGGGTCAACTGTAGTCTGATACAAAGGGAAAAAATGAATTAGGAATTAATAAACAAAAGACATATGTTAAACATACAATCAGTCTCTTCCTTCTTCCTCCTTTAGATTCCAGATGTTTTCGTGGTGTGTTCACAGGCCAGACTCTTCCAGAATGATCTGTTCTGACAAGGATCACTTCTTCCTGATCTTCAGTCTGTGGAAAGATTTAGAGATAACAATTGTAATTATTGAGAAGAGTCTTGAAACCTTATATTTAATAGCCAAAAGAGCATAAAAATGATTCTAGTTTTCACATAATATTGCGGATTATCTTAAGCCTCACAGACTTTCATTATCCACTATAATGTAAAGTGACCATAATCTTTTCATGGAAAAGTTGAAGAAAAATATCTAAAGCTTATTTACTTTTTTAAAACAATTACAAAAGGAAACTTCAAATATAGTTTTCCTCTAGACAATATTAAAAGATGACAAAGCACCAATATTCAAACAGGCATTGTATGAGAATGCCCATCACGTATGGAGCAGATGTCATATTTAATGAATATTTCTTCAATTTAAAGATCCTGGCTTGCCTGCAAGATGGCAGAGTAGAAGGACGTAGGCTCAACCCTTGTTACAGAAACACCAAAATCACAAGTAACTGAACAACCATCGACAAAAACACTGCTGAAACCTACCAAAAAAGACAAAAAAGATGCCACAAAGAGATGGTAGGAGGTGTGTAATTGTGATAAAATCAAATCCCATAACTGCCGGGTGGGCAACCCGCAAGCTGGAAAATAATTATACCACCTAAGTTCTCCCACAGGAGTGAAAGTCCTTAGCTGCACGTCAGGCTTCCCAGCCTGCAGATCTGGCAACAGGAGGAGGAGCCCCCAGAAAATCTGGCTTTGAAGGCCAGAGGGGTTTGATCAGAGTAATTCCACAGTACTGGGGGAAATAGAAACTCCACTCTTAAAGGGCACAGACAGGGTCTCATGTGCAATGGGACCCAGGTAACAAAACAGCGAGCTCATCGAGACTGGGTCAGACTTACCTGTTAGCATTGGAGGGTCTCCTGTGAAGGCAGGGGATGGCTGTGGCACACCGAGGGGACAGAGACACCGGCAGGGGCAGCTCTGGCCAGTACTCATTAGTGCGAGCCCCCATGGAGGCTGCCATGTCATTCTCCCCACCCCCACAGACATAAGCCCATCCAAATGCCTATATGATCCAGTGCTGGGACACCTCAGGCCAAACAACCAGCTGGGCGGAAACACAGCCCCATCCATCAGAAGACAGGCTGCTTAAAGTCTTCCTGAGCATGACCCAGCACAGCAGATGGACAAGACCCAGCTCTACCCACCATCAGGTAGGAAAAAGGCACTCCTAGTAGGAGGTGTATACAAGCCTCTAAGACAAACTCATCCAGCAGAGGTCAGACAGCAGAAGCAAGAAGAATTACAGTGCCACAGCCTGTAGAATGGGAACCATGAACACAGAAAGTTAGACAAGATGAGACAACAGAAGAATATGTCACAGATGAAGGAATAAGATAAAACCCCAGAAGAAAAACTAAGTGAAGGGAGACAGGCAATCTACTGGAAAAAGAATTCAGAGAAATGATACTGAAGATGCTCCAAGATCTCAGAAAACCAATGAAGGCACAGAGTGAGAAAATACAAGAAATTTTTTTTAAAGACCTGGAAAAACTAAAAAGCAAACAGGTGGACAATATAATAACTGAAATGAAGAATACACTAGAAGGAATCAACATCAGAATAAATGAGGCAGAAAAACAAGTGAACTGTAAGACAGAATGGTGGAAATCACTGCCAGGGAACAGAATAAAAAAAAAAAAAACGAAATGATGACAGTCTGAGAGACCTCTAGGGTAACATTAGATGCAGCAATATTCTTATTATAGGGGTTCCAGAAGGAGAAGACAGGGAGATAGGACCTGAGAAAATATTTGAAGATATGATACATGAAAATTTCCCTAACATGAGAAAGGAAACAGTAACCCAAGTCCAGGAGATGGAGAGAGTCCCAGACAAGGTAAAGCCAAGTAGGAGCATGCTGAGACACACAATAATCACACTAACAAAAATTAAATACAAAGAACAAAATGTTAAAAGCAACAAGGGAAAAGCAAAAATTAACATACAAAGGAATGCCCAAACGGTTATCAGCTGGTTTCTCAGCAGAAACTCTGCAGGCCAGAGGGGACTGGCACTATATATTTAAAGCAATGAAAGAGAAGAACCTACAAACAAAAATACACTACCCAGCAAGGCTCTCTTTCAGCTTCAGCAAAAAAATCAAAAGCATTACAGACAAGCAAAAGCTAAGAGAATTCAGTACCACCAGAATACCTTTGAACAAATGCTAAAGGAAATTTTCTAAGCAGAAAAGGCCACTAATAGAAACAAGAAAACTATGAATGAAAAAGCTCACCAGTAAAGGCAAACATAAAGTAAAGGTAGGAAATCATCTGCACACAAATATGATATCAAAACCAGCAATTGTGAGAAGAGGACAGCACAAATGCCGGATCCTGGAAATGCACTTGAAATTAAAAGACCAGCAACATAAAACAATCTTGTTATATACAGACTGCTATATCAGATCCTCAAGGTAACTGCAAAATGAAATTCTACAATAGATATACTCACAAAAAAGAAAAAGGAATCCAAAAACAACAATAAAGTTACTCAGTAAATGACAAGAGAAGAAAACAAAAGAGGAATGGTTAAAAAAAAAAAAAGACCTACAAAAACAAATCCAAATCAATTAAGAAAATGGCAATAGGAACACACATATCAATGATTACCTTAAATGTTAATGGATTAAATGCTCCAGCCAAAAAACACAGACTGGATGAATGGATACAAAAACAAGACCCATATGTATGCTGCCTACAAGAGACCCACTTCAGATCTAGGGACATATACAGATTGAAACTAAGAGGATGGAAAAAGGTATTCCACGCAAATGGAAATCAAAATAAAGTTGGAGTAGCAATACTCATATCAGACAAAATAGACTAAAATAAAGACTGTTAAAGGAGACAAAAAACACTACATAATGATCAAGGGATCATTCCAGGAAGATATAACAACTGTAAGTATATATGCACCTAACACAGGAGCACCCCAATATATAAGGCAAATACTTGCAACCATAAAAGGAAAAACTGACATTAACTCAACAACAGTGGGAGACTTTATCACCCCACTTACATCAATGAACAGATCATCCAGACAGCAGATCAATAAAGAAACACAAGCCTTACATGACACATTAGACCAGATACACTTAATTGATATTTAAAGAGCATTCCATCCAAAAGCAGCAGAATACACTTTTTTCTCAAGAGCACATGAAGCATTCTCCAGGATTGACAATATGCTAGATCACAAAGTGAGCCTTGGTAAATTTATGAAACCTGAAATCATACCAAGCATCTTTTCTGACTACAATGCTATGAGATTAGAAATCAACTACAAGAAAAAAACTGTAAAAAGCACAAACACATGGAGGCTAAACAATATGCTATTAAACAATCAATGGGTCACTGAAGAAATCAAAGAGGAAACCAAAAAATACCTAGAGATAAATGAAAATGAAAGCACAACGATCCAAAATCTACGGGATTCAGCAAAACCAGTTCTAACAGGGAGGTTTATAGCAATACAATGTTACCTCAGGAAACAAGAAAACTCACAAATAAACAACCTAACCTTATACCTAAAGCAACTAGAGAAAGAAGAACAAACAAAACACAAAGTTAGTAGAAAAAAAGAAACTGTAAAGATCAGAGCAGAAATAAATGAAATACAAATGAAGAAAACAATAGAAAATATCAATGAAACTAAAAGCTGGTTCTTTGAAAGGATAAACAAAATTGATAAACCTTTAGTCAGACTGATCAAGAAAAAAGGAAGAGGGCTCAAATCAATAAAATTAGAAATGAAAAAGGAGAAGTTACAACAGAACACAGAAATACAAAGTATCAAAAAAGATCAAATGATCTTTTACAAATGATCATAATTGATTATACAAGCAACTATCTGCCAATAAAATGGACAACCTAGTAGAAATAGACAAATTCTTAGAAAGTTACAATCTCCCAAGTCTGAACCAGGAAGAAACAGGAAATACAAACAGACCAATCACAAGTACTGAAATTTAAATGATGATGAAAAAATCTTCCAAAAATGTCCAGGACCACTTCACAGGAGAATTCTATTAAATATTTAAGAAGAGTTAACATCTATCCTTCTCAAACTATTCCAAAAAACTGCACAAGAAATAGTCCCAAACTAATTCTATGAGGCCACCATAACCCTGATACCAAAACGAGACTAAGATACCACAAATAAGAAAATTTCAGGCCAATATCGCTGATGAACAAAGGCACAAAAATCCTCAAACAAAATACTAGCAAACCGAATGCAATAATGCAGTAAAAGGATCATATACCATGATCAGTGTTGTAAGAATTTTTCAATATTTGCAAATCAAACAGTGTGATACCTCACATTGGCAAATTAAAGAATAAAAAAGTATGATCATCTCAATAGATGCAGGAAAAGGTTTTGGCAAAATTCAACACCCATTTATGATAACAATTCTCCAGAAAGTAGTTACAGAGGTAACATACCTCAACATAATAAAAGCAATTTATGACAAACCTACAGCCAACATCATACTGAAGAGTGAAAAGCTGAAAGCATTTCCTCTAAGATCAGGAACAAGACAAGGATGTCCACTTTCACACCTTTTATTCAACATAGCTTTGGAAACCCTAGCCATGGCATTCTGAGAAGCAAAAGAAAGAAAGGGAATATAAATTGGAAAAGATGAAGTAAAACTGTCACTGTTTGCAGATGACATGATACTATAGATAGAAAATCCAACAGATAATAACAGAAAACTACTAGAGCTAATCAATGAATTCGGTAAAGTTGCAGGATACAAAATTAACGCACAGAAATCTCTTGAATTCCTATACACTAATGATGAAAAATCTGAAAGAGAAATTATGGAAAGACTCCCATGTACCACTGCAACAAAAAGAATAAAATACCTAGGAATAAACCTACCTAGGGAGACAAAAGCCCTGTATGCAGAAAACTATAAGACACTGATGAAAGAAATTAAAGATGATACCAACAGATGGAGAGATATACCATGTTCTTGGGCTGG